GTATTTAGGCCATTAGAGTAGGTTTTGAGAGGAAAAGTTTAATTATATAAAGTTAGCTAAATTTGGTCACATTTAGGTTTAATTTGAGATACGTTTGGTGCACATGTGCTAGCCTAAAGTTGGCTGCACATGATCCACCCCAAATAACCTCAAATTAACCCTAAATGCAACCTAAATCAAATTGGATCTACACATGGAGCTAGCATGTGGCTACCAAAGAAGTTCGAATTTTGAATTCGATTTGAAATTCAAATTTTCGGCGCCAATGTGGAAGCTTGGTGGGTGGTGCTAGTTCCTTGCTTCCTTGGCCTATAAATTGAGCTCTCATTCCTTCATTGTATTCACTTTAAGTATTCTATATAGAGAATTCTGCATTTTGTGAAAATTTTCTCTACTTGAAGTCACATTGATGCTTAGAATTCTAGGGTTCCTAGAAGCCTTATAGAATTAGCACCTTGTGAGAAATCCTTTGTTTCCTTATAAAAGGTGCTTCCAACTCCAGAGTTTCGTTTCCACTCTTCTCAAGTCTAAAAATCATCTCAAGGAAGGTTCAAGGAGCCTGGAGCAATTCTATGAGGTGCTCGTCCATCAAATCTTCAAGAATTGCCATCACATGGGTTCTTTTTATAATTGATTTTTTTAAATTGCCCATGAAACTCCAATACTAACAAAACAAGTGCAACACAATCTCATTATAAGGAGGTGTCTAGTACTTTCAAGACTAACAAAAAGGACCCAAGGCAGTTTGAGTACCCGAAAACTTAATTATTTTGGTTACAAACTTGCCTCACAATAGTAAAGAAATATGATAGAATCATGCCTATGGGTCCAATCTAAGAAAGGAATCAAGAGGAGTGAATTAGACTTGAAGGTAAAAGGTCTATGCTCATGATTGAGCTTTGAGTTATCTTTTAGTCCATTTCCTTTTCCTAATGATTTTTTAACCTTGTATTTTGGGTCAAGTTATTTAAGATGTTATTTCCTTGTATTTTCATGTTGGATGCAATTAGTAGTTCAGGGGAATAGCATGTAGCACATGGAATTAATTGGGCTTGTGTTTAAGGCTATTGGATGGCACCTATTTTCATTAGTAGGATGTCCATATAAGTGTTTCCTACATCTTATTATTGGCTACACAAATCTAATTAGACACATGCCCCACACACTAGTCACACCATCCACATTTGCCATAAGACAAGTTCTTATAGGCTAGTTAAGATCTAAAGCACATAACATTTGGCTATTAGAGGCTTTATGCGCCAAGTTTGAATTCAAATTCAAACTTTGGTGCACCAAGTGACCCATGGTTAATCAACCTTGGTTTCTTTTCTAACCTTCATTGATTGACATGTTCCCTAACCTAGCTTACTCTATATATAGCTTGAGCATTGTATTAGACGTCACTTTTGAGCATTATGTGAGAAAGAACATTTGATTCTCTCTTCAAAAGTCTTGATTTTATCTAAGGAGTGTAACTTGTTAAGATTCATATCTTAAGGAAGCTAATGAAGCTAGTTCAAAAAGGTTTTAATGATTACAAAAAGGGAAGCATGAAGGTCAAATATGTGTATAAGATGAATAATGTTGTAATAGTGTAGGTTATAACTTGTATTGCTTTGTGTTTTATCTTTATGCATGTTTAAGTGTTTGTGTTTTGTGCAAGTAGCTAAATCTTATCCTAACTAAAATAAGAATGGTATGATGATGATACAATGTGATCTAGAAAGCAATCTGAATGAATAAATCAAGATTTTGAGATTTTACTCAAAATAATTGATTATTCACTTAAAATAATTGATTATTTGCTCTATTTTTTAGTAATCTGAAAAGCTTTGCTATAATAATCAATTATATGGTGAAATAATTGATTATTCCAAAATACACCTCCCTGGAATAATCGATTATCTTGAGAAATAATCGATTATCCTGAGAAATAATCGATAAGTTGTTCTTGGATGATTTCCAAAATGAGGAAGAACAAAATAATCGATTATTCCTATAAATAATCGATTATCTAATAATGAAAACTTTATAAAAATAGTTTTCTCATTCAGAAACTAAACCAAGTGATATTGTGAGCAAACCTTTGTAAAATATTGAATCTTGTGATCTTCTTGGAGTGTTTCTTTGTGAAAGTTTCAAAAATCAAGAAGTAAAATAATTTGTGAAAGTTTTTTTAAAATCTCATCATCATCATCACTATCTTGAACAAAGGATAAAGATTTCTCTTAAATTCACATTATGATTTATTCAGCATACCAGGTGAATTCGTTCCTTACTTTTTAAGTGTAAAAGTAGTGAATCTTGAGTAGGTTTCTCAAGTGTGGGAATTCTTGTAATGGGTGATTGCTAGAAGTATTTTCTTAGGGTTCAAGAAAAGTGATATCTTGTATGTAGAAGTAGATTGCATGTATGTTGTGTGATTGTAAACATTCTGACATAAAGATAGTAGATAAATCTTGATTAGGTTTGATTAAGGACTGGATGTAGGTCACATATGGAGTGGTTGAACCATCATTAATCTCTTTGCACGTATCTCTATCCTTATTCTCTTTACTTTTGTAATCTTTGATTGATATCTTGACTTGATTAAATATGATTGCATATGATTTGTGATTTTGTATGATTGATATATTAATTGAAATGTAATCTATACATCATACAAAGTTAAAGTTCAAAAGATTATAGAAAGATTAGGAAAGCGTATAGGAGGATATCCCATATAACAAGAACTCAATATACATCAATTGGAAAGTGTTTTAGAAAAGTTTTTCAAATAAAGATCTAGAACTCTGATTAAATTTTGAAAAATTCAATTCACCCCCTCTTGATTAAGCCATCTTTTCTAACATAACTCCTTGAGATTTTTCATCAAGGAACTCCTCATTGTAATAATATCATCACTTTTTGGCTCATCCTTTGCCTGAAGGTGGTGTTATATCTCCTCTATCTTTTCTACTATTGGGATTCTTTCTTTACTTATCTTGGAGCCATAGGTGAAAATTAAAGGAAAGGGAGTCAAGTGAAGCAAATCAAATTCAATGCATCACCTTAATTCCATCAAAACACCTATAATGCTACTTGAAAAATGGTTTCTCATACACATGAGAAGAGAAAGATCTATGTTCCAAGACCTTAAACCATAATATGGTGGATGGGTTACCTTTGAAGGTAACTAGGAGAGAAGAAGGAATGGGTAAAATTAGTAAAGATCCCTTCCTTTTATTGATAATATTTTGTTTAATATAAGTAAAATAGCTAAGTATCGGTCATTTAGGTCCCAACCAACTATTGCTAAACAACATTTGTCCTTATTTACTTTTCAAATGACACCCATAGACTTCTATATAAAGCCTACATTAAGATGCAAATGCCTTTTTGCATCTATCAAGAAACATGTAATATCTGTGGAACCTTGATATTACCTCAAACCTAGGTTTGTCCAACTCAATCTTACAAGTGTTTCCAAGTGAATATTTTCTCAATTCAACACTATATGACCACAAAGACTATATTGTTTATTGGTGTCTTCCTCAACAATTTCCTTTGCCTAGATTTTTTCTTTAAGTTTACAAGTTTTAATACCAATAACATATATGTTCATATCTTCATCAACTATCTCAACCAAAATTATCTTATGATTTGACTTCAGTTTATCAATTATCACCTTTGAAACCCACTTTGCCTTTATAGTTACATACTTTAATGCATAGAATTGTATAATCACAATTTTGTTTACATTTCACCTTGACCCTCTCAAGATCATTTTTAATTAACTTCACAGACCTCCTATTTATCACATTGTGCTAAAACAAAACATCTTTAAATTGTTGTAGTGAAGAAAATTTCATTCCTATTGGATGACAAATTCATCTCTGAATTGCACACAAATTTTTCTACCTTCCTCTATTAGAGTTTGAATAATTATCTATAACTAATTCATCATTTATACACATCTTTCAAATCATATATTTATAGCATTTTGAATGGCATAATATTTGTCATTCATTTCAACCTTACATTGCTAATCAGATTTCCCAACCAACACCAACAAAATGTTCCACATTCATTCATTGCCCTCCAACAACAAAATGTTCCACATTTACTCCTTCGTCACCAACATAAACTTTCTTACTTGAATTTGATGATGAGAATAATGTTGTTTTGGTCTTCCACTTCCTTCCACTCCAACCACTAACATCTTTATTCATATGAACAAAACAATCATTTACTTATCGTAATCCCCCTTCTAGAGCTCCTAAGACTGAAGTCCTTGACTCGTGTGTCTTTTCACGTCATTTTCACTTCTTATCTAAGAAGTAACATTCTCTTTTCATCCTTTTTCCTTGCTCAATCAAACCACTAACAAACTCAACATTTACAATTTCATCCATCATGTGCTCAACATATATCTCCACCTCACAATTATTTTTCAAAGCGTAGTTAGAGAACTTCAAAGAAACCGTGTCTACAACTAATTGAGTCAACTCATCCTCAAATGACAATGACTTGGGCTTCCACCACATATTAAAAGTACTTTGTGCCCCAATTCCCTAATTATGTTATAAGATTCAAAATAAACCACATGCCAACATCAGAAATTAATTAATTAATTTTTATAACATATTATTTGTTCAAAGTACCTATCAATTTCATCAAAAACTAATCACTATCAAAAACTCAATGAAACAAGAGACCAATAAAAATTTGTTATTTTTAATAAACTTAGTCATAGTTAAGAAAAAATTAAAAAGAAAAAGAATACTAATAGCATTCCATCTAACCCTTTATTTTTTTATTTTTTAACATTATTCACCGAAATTTATTAAAAATAATAACTTTTTTTAATCTTATATCTAACTTAATGAATTACTATTTGTAATAAAATTGATTCAAAATTCTAATTTTGGTCTAGTGATATTAAACATATTCACAAGAGCGATGGCATTTCTTCTAAAAAGAGAATATAAATATTGCGAGTATTGTCATGTTTCTTTTATATACAGCAAAGGAGAAGGAATATCTCTTTTGTCTTTTCAGGGTTAGATAAAGTAATAATATTTTATCCTGGATGATTGGTATGGTTTTGCCGATATGATACAACAATGCTGTGTTTTCGTAATCTAATCTCCGATGATATTTTTGTTTGGACCAGCAGCAACAACAGCAATAGCGGAAGCGAAGCCACACCACAGGACAATATGATGAGATGAAACCAAACAGTGGCCACCGGTTACAATGGCCTCCTTCAGACTCTCCCTTTCCCTCGACGCTTTCGATTCCCTTCACTCAAAGTCCAACCTCCCCAAGCGACCACCCAAACCCACCTACGCATCCAACCCAAACCCCTTCTCACGCCAACTCACCACGGAGCACTGCGACGCCAAAACGCCGTCGTTTACCGAGAGGATGAGGGCCACGGGCAAGCTGGAGCGCAGCAACGGCGCTTACAACGTCGTCGTTCGCATGCTCAGCAGAAGACAAGACTGGGAAGGCGCCGAGAGGCTAATTTCCGAAATGAAGGCCACTCTGGGCTCCGACATGAGCTTCCACGTCTTCAACACCCTCATCTACGCCTGCTGCAAGCGAAACCTCGTCCAATTGGCCACCAAGTGGTTCCGCATGATGTTGGAATGCCACGTGGCGCCCAACGTCGCCACCTTCGGGATGCTCATGGCCCTCTACCGCAAGGCCTCCAACCTCCAAGAGGCCGAATTCGCGCTTTCCCAAATGCGGCGCTTTCGAATCGTTTGCCCCTCCGCCTACTCCTCGATGGTAACCATTTACACGCGTCTCAGGTTGTTCCAAAACGCCGAACGCGTGATCGAGTTCATGAGGAGGGACCACGTGGCGCCGAATTTCGAGACCTGGTTGGTCGTGTTGAACGCCTACTGCCAGCAGGGGAAATTGGAGGAGGCTGAGAGAGTGTTGGAGGAGATGCGAGAGGCTGGGTTTTGTGCTGACATCGTTGCTTATAATACTATGATAACTGGTTATGGGAAAGCTTCTAGGATGGATGCTGCACAGAGGTTGTTTCTGACAATGCAGCTGGAGCCGGATGAGACTACTTACCGGTCCATGATCGAGGGTTGGGGTAGAGCTGATAGCTACGAATACGCGACGGGGTATTATAAGGAGCTCAGACGGTTGGGCTACAAGCCCAGTTCGTCGAACTTGTTTACTTTGATTAAGTTGGAAGCTAAGTATGGGGATGATGAGGGTGCTGCTAGGATCCTTGGTGATATGGTGGATTGTGGATGTCAGTATTCTTCAATTGTTGCTACTCTTGTGCATGTGTATGAGAGGGCTGGGAAGGTTCATAAAGTGCCTGGTTTGCTCAAAGGTTCGTTTTATGGGCATGTGCTGGTGAACCAGAGTTGTTGCTCAACTTTGGTCATGGCTTATGTGAAGCATAGGCTGGTGGGGGATGCCATGAAAGTGTTGAGTGACAAGAAGTGGCAGGATCCGCGGTACGAGGATAACCTGTATCATATTTTGATTTGCTCGTGCAAAGAGGCGGGTTTGATGGAGGATGCTGTGGAGATATACAGTCGGATGCCTGGAAGCGATGAGAAGCCGAACATGCACATTGTGTGCACCATGATTGACATTTACAGTGTCATGGGCCGATTCAAGGATGCAGAAGTGTTGTATCTGAAGCTGAAATCTTCGGGGATTGCCTTGGATATGATTGCTTTTAGCATTGTTGTGAGGATGTATGTGAAAGCTGGATCTTTGAAAGATGCTTGCACAGTTTTGGATGACGTTGACAAGAGGCCAGATATTGTTCCAGACAAGTTTTTGTTATGTGATATGCTGCGTATTTATCAAAGATGTAACATGGTGGATAAGTTAGCTGATCTGTACTACAAAATCTCTAAAACTCGGGTGAATTGGGACCAGGAACTGTATAATTGTGTCCTGAACTGCTGTGCGCAGGCTCTGCCGGTGGATGAGCTTTCCAGGCTTTTCGATGATATGGTACAGCGCGGATTTTTGCCCAGCACAATCACCTTCAATGTCATGCTTGATGTCTTTGGGAAAGCCAAGCTTTTCAAGAAGGTTTGGAGGCTGTACTGCATGGCCAAGAAACAGGGCCTGGTTGATGTGATCACTTACAATACTATCATAGCTGCATATGGGAAAAATAAAGACTTCGAGAACATGTCATCAACAGTCCAGAAAATGGAATTTGATGGCTTTTCGGTTTCCCTTGAGGCATACAATTCAATGCTGGATGCTTATGGGAAAGATGGCCAAATGGACACATTTAGATCTGTATTGCAAAAGATGAGGGATTCAAATTGTGCCTCTGACCACTATACCTACAACACTATGATCAATATCTATGGAGAGCAAGGATGGATTGATGAAGTTGCTAGCGTGCTTACAGAATTGAAAGAATGTGGACTCAGACCTGATTTGTGCAGCTATAATACATTGATCAAGGCATATGGGATTGCAGGAATGGTTGAAGAAGCGGTAGCATTGATAAAGGAAATGAGAAAAAATGGAATAGAACCTGACAAGAAAACCTACACTAATCTTGTCACCGCACTGCGGCGAAATGATAAATTTTTAGAAGCAGTTAAATGGTCATTATGGATGAAGCAGATGAAATTATGAAATTCATGAAGCTATAGCTAGCATTATCCAAGTAAGTCGTCTTGGACCTTCTAACCCTGGTTGTTTGAAGAGCAGTTTGACCTTCAAGTCCTACACGAGTACAGCCTCTGATCTAAGGCTTCCCTTGGTAAGATTTTTCTGTATATCTTATAGCATAAACTAAACAAATAAACAGAAAATATTCTGGTAGAAATCATGATTGACCTGACTCCATATATCCTGGATTTTCATTGGAATACCTGTACAAGATGTTGACTTAAATAAGGTGTTAAGTATGAAATGGAAGCATGATGAGACACCATGGTAAGGTACTGTGATTACCTTGAATATTTCTCATTCACTGCATGAGCAGAATATGCACTGTCGCATTTGCAACCAATTGGTCGAAAAGTTAAAATGCCACTTAAAGCTACAATTAGGAGGCATATTTCCCAAAATGACTGAAAGAGTTTTCAGCTCCAAAAGGAACCATATGGCTGAATCTGGAATCGTGATGTTCATTTAAGCATTTGTCCTATAATGGTAGTTTGCCACATTACATAAACTAGGTTTCCGGTTCTGTATTATTACTTAATACAAAATGTGCTTCTTTTCACTGTATATTTGTTGGGTACATGATTTTATTACTTGTAATTATGAAATACTCCGAGAAAGTGATTACACTTCTTCATACGGACTTTCTGTTCCCATTACTATTGTTTTATTAACTGTATATAACCCGCTCTGAAACACATGTAGAACTTGCTTTAGTTAGCACTTGTGATTATCCATTATTCTTTTTTGTTGGTTACTAAATGTAATTCCCTTTGTCTATAAAGAATAAACTCCCTAAAACATAGCTATTTTTTATTCATCTATACAATAATTTCTTCCTTTCACCATACATTCCATTCAATTTAAGAGTTATAAGTTAAAATTAACTTATACATGTTCAAGACAAGTGTTATCAACATCTCCGTAACTTTCTCTGAAAATTGAAGCTCTGATTCATGAAGTTTCAGATTTGCCAACCTCCAATTGCCCCCAAGGGATTTTCAACATGTACGTCACCCTCCTCAACAGCACCATGCCCAACATGTCGTTCTATTCTGAAGGGAGTTGTTGTCAGCGGTGGCGACGACGATATCAAAGGGACTATTACTCATGCCTACGACCGAGTATTCAACACTTGATGGGTGGTGGAAGAATAATAGCACGACAATGGAGGGGTTGAAGACAAAGATTGAGAGGTGGAGGACGAAGCTTACTCTCAGTACAAGGATGAACAATAGAAGATACATTGGTCGAACAACAAGATGGAGCAATGGCGTTACAAGCCATTTGTGTATCCGGAAGGTTTACTAATGGTGTGAATAGTGCCAATAAGGTGTGGGTGTGTTAGATAACTTTGTAACCAGATGAATTTAACAAACATGTTACATTGTGCACCGTGGACACATGTAAAGCTGGTCCACACTAACAATTGATTTCAACTTGCTCTTAAGTTAATTTTAATTTTTGAAATAAAGTTATTTTATTTTACTTATTTATTTTTTTATATAATTACTTATAGAAAAATTATCTAAATAGGACTCTATTGATATTGGGGCATTCGTTTAGAAAAAGAACCATAATTAAAGTAATGTATAATATATCATTTGTTACCATAACTTTTTAAGAATTTTCAATTTGGTTCCTAAACTGAAAATGTTTGTAATTAGACTCATCATTTTTATATATTTTTTGTAATTTAGTTCGGAAAATTAGAATATCATTTACTATTTGTTAAACTTTAGAAAAGTATTTATATTTTCATATAGATAACCACATTAAATTATTATTCTATGTCATCATTCATGTGTATCAAATTTTAATCTCTACTAAATAAAACTCTCTTGTAATCTCTAATCAAAAGAATTTTGAAATAAGTAAAAAAAATTATGGATAGAGATTAAAGTGACCTATATGAATAATAACATGAATAAGAAATTTGACATTATTCAAGTATTGTGGTACAAAAAAGGTTTTGTGAAATTTCATTAATTATTACAAAAGTATAAAATCATGAAAGACTTACAAATTTAGTTTAGGAACATGAATAAAAATTTTCAAAATGTTGGGGACAAAATAATGTATTAAATCTAGATTCTAAAAGCAACCGTTTAGCCGATGGAGACCAATATTCGTATTTTGCAGATTTCATTAATCATGAGGCATGGACATGGTTGAACTATAGCCTCGTCACTAGAGCTCAAAACAGGTATCAAAGGATTTGAACAAATTTGAACAAACAGGTATCAAGAAATTGCAAGCCAAATTGTTGCCGATGCAGTGATGAATCCAAGCGCCTAGACCTTCATTTAACTTAGAGAAGGCTTCGAAAACCAATTGCAGAGCTTTTTCATGTCACTTCGAAAGGAACACCCTTGAAGAATGATCATCACCCCCTTTTTGTGATGAAAAGTTCTGACACTCGACATAAAATAAGTTGTTAACGGTTTAAATATTTTCCGCAGATTATGATGAAAAGTTGATAGTTTGCATGCGAATCATAAAACAGATACTTGCAGCCTAAATATAAACGAACTGCATTTTAATTCATAGTATTGAACCTGATAATGTCTAATTTAAAGCTGAGATAACAAGGATGGATTCTACAATCCTTTTGCATTTCTTCTCAATATACTATAATTGAATTTCATGTAAATAAATTTTATTAGAAATCAGAAATAACAGCAGCGTGTTTATATCCCTGACGAACTTTCTCTGATCTACTATAATACATCTATCATATATTTTACATGTAAAAAATAAAATGAATTAAAAATCTTTTTGCATTGTCAAAGTTAGCCCTGGCCCTAGGTTCCGCACTGTACAGAAGATTCGGCTGCAAGCATTTAGCACTAGCCACGTCTATTGCCCAGCAGCAACTCAATTCAGGTGTTGGATATCACCAACATTAAAATTTCATGGTGAATTTCCTTCCCTGAATGTGGATTATAAATTTGAAGGGTGATAATAGCTTATCTCTTAAGCAGCCTTGTGTGTAAGGTTCTGTGTATTCTAGAACAAGATACTTTTTCCAAAATCTATTTTCTTTCCTTCCTGGTCTTCTCCAAAAGCAATGTTGGATCATCATTCCCATCTCCAACAGGATGAATTGCACCCCAGAAATTCCTCCACATTTTGCATTTGAAGTTAAGAATATTTTCACAGCAACTTAGACTTGTGTTTTGAATGCAGAGAAATTGCTCAGTTGAAGAAGTATGGAGAATCAAGAACCTTCTGCAAGTCAAAATCACCTCTCTTTGGCAATGCAGGGAAAGCCAATCCTGGATATGTAGTCTCGAAGCCCTCAAGCAACTGTCAACAAATCAAGTTTAATCATGAGAAAGATTAAAGAAAACAGACCATGGGTTTGTTTTCCCCACCCTGCTGGTTTAAAAATGTAAAAGTTTTGGATTAAGCACGGACGATATTTAGCACAAGTTTACTTTCAATTCAGATGTTATGCCAGTTTGATGTTGGCCAATGGATAAAAGTTTTTATAAGAAACATATAGCATTCTCTCAACCAGTTATCAGTAATAGTATGTAGTAGGATGAGCTGAGCATTTAGAGTTCCTAGCTCATGGGGAAAGTAATTTATACAAACTTGGTGAATAAATAAATAATAAATCAATTCCACAATAATATAAATTTAGTTCAAATTTTCAGGCAATAGAAACCTAATACTTAAGCTTTTAAGTGGATCTAGATTCCAGAGTTCTGGTCCTCCTGTCCTCAAGCAAATACCACTTCAGTATAAACTAAATCTATATGACCAATCCTGTAGTTAAATGGTCCTCATATTAATGAACGTGTGCATGGGATGCATATTTGCATGTTTCAGAAATTTCAACGACCTCAATATGCAATTAATGGTATTACTTTAAAATGGGATAAATTTCAAGACATTCTTTAATCTCACCTACAGCAAAATAGTTGGAAATTAAAGGTTAATAAGAAATTGCATGAATTTGATTATGAGATGAAAAGTAATAACTTATATTTTTTCTCCATGTACTCCCTAGAAAATACGCATACACTAATCAGGCCACAACAAGAACTTACATTTTCAAGTATAGGCATGTTATAAAGCTCCACAAATTTTTCTCTAAGAATCCGATTCATTTTCTCAACATCGCATGGGTGTGTCCAAAATGAATCATGAACCCCTGCAAACAATTATTTCACATTATTTAACCAACAAGATCCTTGTAAAAGAAAACAATGCATATTTCTTCTATAGACATTTTCACCAATCAAAAGCATAACAGGTGAAAATAAATGTACATATATTCATAGAACCTAAAAGCTAAAACTGGATTCGTAGAACCTAAAAATTTATCAAAGTTCATGGTATTTTGCAGTGTAGATGTGTCAAAATGAATCATGAACCCCCGCAAACAATTATGTCATAAAATTTAACCCATGTAAAAAGAAAACAAGCATATTTCTTCTATAGACATTTCCCCCAACCAAATATCTCAAAGTTGAGCGAGCATAAAAAGTGAAAATAAATGTACATATATCCATAGAACCTAAAAGCTAAAACGGGATTCATAGAACCTAAAATTTCTCAAAGTTCATGGTATTTTGGAGTGTAGATGTCTCGAGCAATATAGCACAATCTAAGGAATTTTGTATATTCAGTGCACATATTTAATAAGACTATTTGAGAGGTTTGAGTCGAAGAAAGTATTAAAAGATACTAAGGAAGTTATAATATTTTAGGGTTTAGCTTAGTGTATAGCTGAGTTCAATGTATCTTAGAAAGTTGTAATATTTTAATTGTTCTCTTGAAAATAGTTGTAGTTATTTATTATCATTGTAACTATTATTATTATTATTATAAAAAGATTAATCTGCTAATGTTGACTAGGTAGGGTCAGTAACTGATAGGAGATCAGCTACTAGATATTGCATATTTCTTGAAGGAAACTTTGTAACTTAGAGAAGTAAAAAACAGAATGTTGTAGCACGATCTAGTGTTGAAGCTGAAGTTCAAGCTATGGCACAAGGTATTTGTGAATTTCTTTAGTTGAAAATTATCTTAAGACTTGATGTTGAAACCTATAAAGCTCTACTGTGATAACAGTTAGTAATTAGCGATGCTCGTAATCTTGTTCAACATGATTGAATGAAAGCTATTGAAGTGGATAAGCATTTTATCAAGAAAAAGCTGGATAGTGTTTTGATCTGTAGTCCATATGTACCTTCACAAGGTCAACTTGCTAACATTCTCACTAAAGGATTGTGCAATCCAGATTTTGAAAGAATAACATGCAAAGCTAAGAATGGAAAAACTCTACTCTCCAGTTTGAGGGGGAGTATTAAAAATAGGAGCATTTAATTTTTATTACCCTTTCAAGTAGCTTGGTGTTTAGATGAGTTCTACATATCTTAGGATGCCGTGATCCAATTGTTTACTTAAAAATAGTCTTAGTTATTTATTATCTTTGTAACTATTATTATTATAAATAGACCAATCTGCTGAGTAAAAAAAACATTCAAGCACATTCATAAAATTTCCCTTCTCATATTCTCACAAATCAAATATTCAATAATATTGTATTCCAAAGGGAAACTTCACATTTGTTATTATTTTATTGGTGAAAAAATAATGAGTTATACAAACCTGCAAAACATAATCCAGCATCATTGCAGGCTAGAGCAGTCATCATCATGTGCGAACTATCCAATGAATGTACAAAGTTAGGAGGAAATGCACTTTTTTGCTTCTTGACAGATACCTGGAATACAGTCTTAATAATGAAAAACAGTTCAGAAAGAGAAGAAAACTGGAATATCAACATTATATATACTTACTGCACTTCCCTCCCTCTGCAAAGCCAAAAGCTGAAGAGATGTTCTTATCTGCAGTTGATGGTAAGAATCATCAGCAAAAAGTATGGAGATTGAAAAAAAATTAAAATCCATATAATTGGATTAAATTGTATAATTATTGGCATTTGGCATTGATTTCTATAATTTATACCATCAATATCATACACACAACTATTTTACTAAAAACTATAATTTGTCAATAGTTGCACTTTAATATGAGATGCATTTCCCAATTGAAAACTATGGCTTACTTGTCCAATGTTTTAAATCCCAATCCCAAATAACGACCAACCTCGAAAACAGTGAAGCAGGATGGCCAATATATACATACATACACACACATATATACTTATATATATTATACATAAAGAGAGAGGAAGAATTCGTTTACTCTAAGAGTAAGTCTATCTAAACTTACTCCTTTCAATAACTCAAGTATGCAAATTTTTAAAAAATTTGAAAACCATTTGATACTTTCTTTTAATAATTCAAATTGACGAATAATTACATTGCTGGAGATGGCCAAACATGTTGCCAGAGATGGTCAGAAGATATGCGAAAAAGATGGGAGAGATGTGTGAGAAAAAAGACAAATGAGGGAGATAGGCAACACATTTTCTAAAAAAAACCTAAATAGCAATGCCATCCTGCCACTACAAACAAAACACTAAACCGTATTGCTATAGAGACCCTTATGTGAATTTATTGTAAGAGAGCAGTTACTAAACTAACTCTCGGGTTTGCTTAGCTGTACTACTAGAACTTTTTGTGTTTGTTATAGCTATCAAGATGCAACATGTACTTTACGTAGTTTAATTGCTACTACTATCATGTAATGAGAAACAGTTAAAGAAATATTTCCAATCTTGATTTCTATTCTCTCTCTTTGTGTTCATATTCAATATGGTATCTTGAGCTTGACAATCTCCAATGGTCATATCGTCTCCATCACTCTCCCTCATCACTGATCACGTTCATGCATACGATTTCAACAAAGCTAGATGATACAAATATTATCATTTGGAGTCAACTAGTTGAAAAGGTTCAATGTTTTCAACACTTCATTGTTTGTCTAGAAATTCCTCTACGATTCTCTCTCGTGTTATGAAGTGTTCATTTGCATCAAGTTTGGTTTTCACCTTTTACCTTTATTGTTGTTGAGCATATTCTATTAGATATTTGATGGGATGTTTCTCATGTGCCTATTTTAGGATCTACATAATTACAATAAGGACAAAACTTGGGTATAGTATCATAGGTAAGGATGGTATTGTTCTCCAATTAGAATTGGAGTTTCAACTCAAAAATATGCATCAATATATATTACAACAGTCAGCATTAAGTGTAAATGCATATTAACGCATATTACCTAGTTGAAGCTTCAATTTTGATTGGAGAACAACACTAACTGCACCTATGGTATTGTACCTAAGTTTCATCCTTATAATAATTAGGCAAATATGATATTTGTAATTATTCATTTGTCATAAAAAGTGGGATTGAACCCAACTTAACCCTATAAAACCATCTTCTAAGATGGGGATTGCTCCCCACTTAACTACTCTAATAAGGCCTTATCTTTACTCGAAATGGAACTTGAGTTTTCCCAAATAGACTACCTTATGTCTAGCACTATCGGGCCTAGTGCATGGAAAAATGGTGGGTAACCATTTTTAAATGATCCAAGATAAACAAGACTTGGGTATAGTGACATTGAGCTTTATGAATCTCCTCATCTACGTTTCTATTTGATTTTGATCAATGGATTTCTTCTTTTTCTTATCCTAGAACTATTTTAGCTTGACCTCCTTGTCAGGAACTATCTCTCTGACGAATATTGTGTTGGGAGCTTCGCCATCACTATCATTATTGTCCATTGCAGAGGGAGTTACATCAACAAAGATGGTCTTTGACTCTTCTTTTACAGTAGAGGGAATTGTCACAACTTTCTTGGCTACAAACTTGCTCAAAGTGTGATCTTCAACATTAGAGGATCTGGTGGCATGCTTGGCTGATGGGAAAAGAGGAGGATTTGGTCTTGTGCTCACCCATTTTCAAATTGCTAATCTCTATCAAGCTTATTTCTCTCTTGAACCTGACTCTCTCTTCCTCTGCCAAGGCATGGTAAGGCAGAGAGTGATTAGCGATTTGAAAATGGGCGAACTCAAAACCAAATCCTCCTCTTCTCTTGCCATCATGCTGGCCAAGCACTTCACCAAATCCTTTGCCACTGAAGATCTCACTTCAAGACAAGTAAGTCCGTAGCCAAGAATGTTGTGACAACTCCCTCTGCTACCAAAGAAAAGACAAAGACGAGCTTTGTTGACATGACTCCTTTAGCAACGGATGGTAGTGCCAACGTCAGCTACATCACCAATAGTCAAAGAATCAGTTCCCGACAAGGAGACAAGACAATGCTGGCCAAAACGGTACCAAGAAAAGGAAAAGATGCAATTTGTTGGATCAAAATAAAATAGAAACGAAGACAAGGAGATTCATCAAACTTGGCATAACTATACCTATCTCACCTATCCTAGATCATTTAGAAAGGGTTACCCACTATTTATCCATGTACCAAGTCCAATAGTGCTTAATCATTTAAAAATGACTACCCACCATTTATCCACACACCAAACTCAATAATACTCCCCACTTATATATCTGATAAAGCCTCATCTCTAGTTAATAACAATAATTTATTTATTTATTGCCCGCAGTATATAATATACTAATATGCTACATTGTCTAACACAAATAGAGGGAGTACATGGTATCTAGAGCCTGACAAGAAGCAATCCAATTGTATGCCTTCCCAATAGACCCACTATCTATTGATGCCATTTTTTTATTTTTTGGGGAAACTGTGTTTCTCTCCAGTGCCCTTTTTCCAGTGACGATTTCCTTTTTTTTCTAGTCACCTCCAGCCTTTTTTCTAGTCACCCTCATTATTAATTAAAATTAACCACTTTTATTAGTCTTGATTGATTAGTTATTTGTTTCTCATATAATGTACTGGAGGGAGTACATCAAAGGAGCTCTAGGAAAAAGGTCTTTTATATTAAGATAGGTCATACAAAAGTTGTGAGATATTCAAATGCAGATTGAGCAAGCTCTCCAACTTTAGAAGATCCCCTTTTGATTCTGAATATTGCAATGTTATTGTTGATAACTTGATTTCTTGGGAATGTAAGAAACCAAATGTTCTTGCAAGGTCCAACACAGATAACACTCGTTTCTAATAAACAAGTTGGCATGCACATTGCATCAAATCCAGGGTTCCATGATAGAACTAAGCACATTAAGGTAGATTGTCACTCCATTAAGGAGATTTTATCTCGAGACATCACTACTAAGTTTGTCATTTCCAATGATCAATTCATAGATGTCTTCACCAAGTCTTTGAGGGATCCTCGAATTAATTATGTAAGTAATATGTAACAAGAGCAGTGCATATGATTTATATGTTTCAACATGAGGGGAAGTGTTAAATATTACTTGATATCTTAGAAATAATGTATCATGTTTTTAGGATCTACATAATTACAGTGATTAGGCCATTAGGTTATCCATATTCCTTTATTTATTACCATAGTATATAATACTTTGCTCTGCTGTGTAATACACACAAATTTAGTTGTCTCTTGTTTTATCTTCCTTAAAACAAGAAGAAAATCAATATATAGAAGGCTTACCTGATAACGTTCAGTTTTACAGTATGGTTGTACAACAGGAAGACCAAGAGGAGTGGTCCAGTAAACAGCCTGGTTTTCATAAGCAATCACCTGTAGAATGTTTCAGAACTCCACCTTTCAGGAAAAGAGACACGCAAAGGAAAAATGCAGCCACACAATATACGCATATCCCACATGCAAAGTGACAATAGTAACCAATAGGACCGATAGCATCATTTGGAATTCAACATATTGTTGTGATAAGACAGCTAACCTTTGCACAATCCCCAAGCCAACCCATAATGCCACGTGCAGCTTCAAAAACTTCCCCGAGGGCAGCCAATGTCACCTTTAGAAATTAGGTTTTGACAATGTAAATCAAACTTCCTCATATGAACCAGAATGATAGGAGCATTTAAATAGATCAAGAATCATGATGGAATTTATAAGCACATTAACAAAGATTTTCCTTTCTTCTTTTTCTCTTTATTTTCATAAATTATCTTAAGAGAAAGAAAAGTTTGCTGTTCTATTCTATCAAGTATCGATCATTCCAGAAGGAAGTGGACTCATAATGCATCGATAATAGATTAATAATTGCACATCAAGGCAGCTATTGCAACCTCTAACAGCTAAAATCCTAGAATATAGTGTAGCTGATACTTACCTTAGCTGCATAGCAAGCTGCAGTATATAATAGTCTATCATCAGTAATGAGACCTTTCTCCTCTAATCTTCTCTTAATTTGCTCTCGCGCCCCAATATAAGTAACACCATAAACAGAAGTCATTACTGTCTGTTTGACCAGTTTCCTATCAATCTGAATACTTCCAAAAAGTTTAGAGTAGAACAGAAAAAGAGCCACAGCCAATTGCTGGAGTAAATTTTGTATCATTTAGCAATTAGCATAACTCTGAAACTTAAATCAAGACTGACCTGATCAATCAACACCTTTGCTAACAAAGCATTTGGAAATGTATCTGGGTCTTTGTTGCTGTCTCGTTTCATTATATCATAAACCCTGCTCATGTTACAAAAAAAGGAGACCAAAATATTTATTGTCCAAAGCAATTATGACAAGAATAAATTGAACACCCATGGGATGATGGATCCCAAAAGTTCTTCTATTATCCGGATAATTTACATGAGCATAATAGGTCAAGAAGTAGGATATATCAAACATCCAACTACTAATGAAAACCACAAACATTTAAGCACTTCCATTCATTGAAGGACTACAATTATAACAAAAAAAGCTCCAAGCTCAGTATATGTTAGGAGTCCCACTTTGAGAAATATAAAAAGATTGATGCGATATTTAAACCATGAAGCTCTTCCACCTAATGGACTAGTCTTTTGGATAAGGCTTTCCTTTTGTGCTCAAGTCTAACAATATAGTGTAGTAACAACAACAAATGTGAAACATAGAAATTGCTGAAATGAATATAATATACCTAACAGCAATCTCTGTGTAAACATCAGCAGGTTTCTCTTTAGCAACCAAGTTAACTGCAGCAGCCTCCAGCTGAAAAGGTACATATATTCCAGTAAAGTGAGAATAGTACCACATATCAGAAATAGAAAGTAATGTAGAATAATTTATCGCTTTAGCCACCCAAGAAATGAAAAACAGTGGATCAAAAGCAAACAAGGGACCAAATATTTGTGTGGAACAGATTAATGAACACTGCACTGACTAAGATCATGATAACTGTTTTAGAATGTGATTAAATAGCAAAATAAATGCCTTAATTTCCATAGAAATGTAATTAATTATCGACCATTGCAAGCATGAGTTTTTGGCGATATTGATCAATGATCCAGGTCAGGAAAATACAACATAAGTACAAAGCATGGCCAATTTTAATTAGATCTTGATCCAACATACAAGAAAGGGAACAAAAAAAATATTCACCACAATTAACTAGAAGCATGTTGATGTATATAAATTTAAAACCAATGACTGCCAGAATGAAAAAACAAATAACAAATTATAAATTGGAAGATTGCCATCACTCGTAAAATTAGTGTCCATAAAAGAATGTTACCTAACATTGACATATAATCATATGAAAGTAATGAAGAAGAAAAAAGCAACCAAAATAAACAAAAACAAAAATGAAGACCATATTACTATGTATTGAATAAGCTGTATTTATATCATGACAGCGATTCACATGAGTACTAGGGAGTGGTTATTTTATTTCAAGACACTAAAACTTGTCAAGGGCCAACTTTCCTAAAAGCTTAATCTGTTAAGTAAAAACACATTAATGATTTCAGATCTGCAACACACCCTTCACGCAAGAACTGTTTGGTTTAGAGCATGAACAACACATTGACACTCTTTACCTTGTTATTAAATTCAGCTTACGAAGAACAGAGGAAGTAAGGATAGAAATTTTGAAAGTCATAATAGAGACTCGACCACCTTGCCTAGAAGCTTCCAGTATTAGGTTAACTCCAATGTTCTATAAATGATTTTAGATCTACAACCCACCCTTCATGCAAAAACTGTTTGGTTTAGAGCATGAACAAACACATTGACACTCTTTACCTTATTATTAAATTCAACTTATGAAGAACAGAGGCAGTAAGGATTGAAATCTTCAAAGTGATCAAAGAGACTCGACCAGCTTACCTAGAAGCTTCTGGTATTAGGTTAAGTCCAACGTTCCAGAAATGATTTTTCATTTTAACAGTACAAGCATATCAAATGTCAAAGTGACTCAAGGATAAATAGTGAAGAAAACTACATAAACAATATATAACAGTAAAATCATCACAAATCCTAAGTTTAAAAGGAATAGATAGATTATATTAAAAGTGATTTCAAAAACAAAGAAATGAGATAAGTAAGCCTACGTTATCTCTTCCCAAAGCTGCATAGTGCTGTAAGCCATTACAGGACCCATCCTAAAAAAATACCAGAGCAGCATTACTAACAATTATTTTGAAAACATACTGAAAAAAAATTAAATTGAAAAGTGACCCCATATTATAGAGTTCTGCAGCATGAAAAGGCCCACAATGTGTTCACTTTCAAAGATTTGGTACCAAATTTTATGTTTGCTTTTCTTTTTTTGTTTTCTCTTTGATTGCATATTACCTTTTAGACAGTAAAATAATATTGAAGATCAAATTTGGTCTTGAGGGTGTATGCTTGGAATCAATTTGGACAATATGAAAAGAAATTCCAAAAGCTATAACAACAATTTTTTTCTTTGCCTCTCAAACAAAGAACTTACCTGATGAATTGGAAGATGTGATATAAAAGAATTTGGTGATGAGCTCCTTAATGCCTCAGATAGATTAATACAAGCAGCAAGGCATTGGAAAGGATCCTCAGCCATTAACCACCAACGATTTCCATTTATAGGGTCATCGGCTGAATCAAATATATCATGAATATGATTCTCTATAAATCCTAGGCGCTCATCATAAGACTGCTTCTCAATACCACCTGCATACAAGTTTGCTAGATGTATCTTCAGCCACCTGAGTCCAGACTTTCCCAATGGCCGCCCTTCAGCAAATTCGAGAAGTCCTCGACACAGATCAGAACCTAAATGATTCAAATGAGGATGCATAGGATAGGCTCTTCCACGGAAATCAAGATTGTGTGGATAATAAAAGCCTTCCTCATCTTTCATTTTTCGTGCCACCTGTTGCAGAATGAATTTTGTCATAATTATTGCTCATCTATGTCACCAATAAGTACTAGGATGTGAGTAAAGATCACATAGGTCACTGATATAACTAAAATTGGAATTTTCAGTTGTTCCCAATAGTCCAAGCATAGCATAGAAAAGATATTTTACAACAAGAGGGAAGATCTTACAGAAAGCTTCAGTTCAGTGTCACATCTTAGAGAATGCCTTTCCATATTAATTTTTTTGGCCTTCCTTACACTGCATTTCCATTCTTGAATTTGCTTTAAATCCTCTACAAGTGGCTTATCTGGTAAAGGAACCTACAAGTCAAAGAAAAATTTATGTGGGCCAGATTAATGGCACAGTAATATGTAACATTGAGAATTCATTGTATGATTGACAAAAACAATTAGCAGAGTATTTTTTTAAAAATTGTGTATGGACTTGGCCATCAAATGAATTTGAAAATTTTATACTTATTACTCATTACTCCAGACTCGTTGCAATTTAGAATTGTGTGATTTGATTTGTCATAGGATTTGATGTAATTAGAATCTGTTGTATTTATTTCCCCCTTTCCATTTTAAGATTTATAGGAAAGATTATTTCTTAATATTTAGGGAGATTATTTCTTAATATTTAGGGAGATTATTTTCTGATATTCAGGCAGATTATTCCCTGATCTTCAGGACTAGATTAGCTCACAGATTTTATTCCACTGTATTCTATTCATACAAATTATGTATCTTTTCCCAAAGTAGAGAAATATACAGCATATTTCTGCACATTCTTTTTATAAAGACTTCAAAATCTGCCCCCTCACCCCCAGCCCCAAACACACACATGCCATGAAAATTTTATTTATATCTGTATTTTGAAACATAAGAAGAAGAAAATTAGATGGAAGGAATAATATACAAGTAATCAATTGACTTTTTTATTTATGCTTACATCTTTACAATCAACCAGTCCTGCGATGTTACCTCCTCCAGCCCAAATGGACTCCACAACTCCAAGCAATCTTCTATTTACTCGCCACTTGGTGTTCCCGAGAATATCCAAGGCCTGCACAAAACAATGATGCCTTTTTATTATGAAAAAAAAAAAACGATGCTCTAGGCAGAACAATAGATACAATTCAATGAACCAGCAAATGAAGACTACAAATATTAAACTGTTCAGAGATACTTACAACAAATTTTTAATAATAAGAAACTTGTAACAATTGAATGAAAGCAAGTTACTAATCGCTGATTTGGTAAATGCATACAGTGCATCCATTTTTTTAACAGGGCTTTTATTTTAACATACTACTGCCATACTTTGCTTGGCAATCAAAAAAGAAAATTGAAATTTACATACGCCACCTCAAAAACTTTCTGCATTTGTGCTCCATTGACATTCTTCATTACATCTTGTTGCTTCCTAGATCCATGAGTCCGCATGATATAAGAGGGTAAGAACAAGTATCCGCCTTTGTCATATCTGGAAAGGGTGTTATTAAATGTTAAACACACAAATAAGCAACGAAGACATTAAGGATAATATTTCCATCTATATATAAAATTAGATTAATTTTCTCGATCGAGTGATTTTAGGGACCATTCTTCAACAAGTGGTTTTAGCCAATTTTCTTCGACAATAATATTTTTAGGGATTCTTTCTTAACCTCTGCTATATTTAAATCTATCATTTTTTATTTATATATTAAATTTCATATTTTAAAAAATTTAAATTAAAAAAAATAAATTTGTATCGCAATATAAATTATTTATCATAAATCTAAAATATAATTTACAAGATAAAAAACATTTATTTATTATAAATTTAATTCTTGTATAATTTATATAATAAAAAATATTTACTTGTTATAAATTTTAGTTGTATAAAATAAAAATATACCTTATGCATTGCATGGGCTAAAATATTAATTAAAAAAAGTGAAAAGTTACTTGCATCTACTATTTCCATATTTTTCAAATTCATGTTCATTTTCAAGTTTAAGAGAAGTAGCTAACTCAATAGTTGCATTTCTTTCTCTATTGGCCTTGAGCGAGGTTGAAACTGAGCACAATAAATCATGCCATAACAAAGTAAAATCACAGAAAATTAAGGCATTCAAAAATCAAAATACACTACAAGAGGGGAAACCAATTCCATTTGTCATACCCTTTCCATTTTTTGGGAGGTATTAACATTGGCATGTAAGGTATTAACATATGTTTAGCCTGCACAAAAAGACACAAATCAGTAAGTAAAAACCTTACCTTATACATTTTCTGTAGTGCATGCTAACTATCTTGAATGAGTTTGAAGTATCTGATGTTTAATTTAAGCCCAATGACATGCTTAATAGCAAACAAGTTTGTGAATAACAGGACAAATGAACAGCATTACTGGGGAAGTTCAGATTTCACTATGTCAACATTCAACAAAACTATTCATGATTTTGGCTAGTCATAAATACAATGTACCAGATTCCATGCAAATGGAACACCTATAACAAGATGCTTAAGCAGATTGATAAAAAGTAAGGTGTCAGCATCCTCTTCTATCTAATCTAAATGCTAGTTCTTTCTCTTTCTGGGAAGAGGGGAATGACATTATAAACAGTTCTAATTTACAGGAATATCATACACAAGTTAGAGATAATAATGGATTTACTTTGCACTCCTGAAGCTATCATTAAAGCCATTACCATGAACAGAATAACTTCATCTATGACATAATACTGTTTAAGAAGAGGAAGACAATGTCTCAACTTACACATTTTTCAAGCCCAGCTAATACTAAGGGATCACATTGTATAACGCCATACTTCTTTGTAAACTTTTGCCTACAAGCACCCAAACAGTTATTTGGAATTAGAATTGAAAAAAAAAAGTGTAATAAAGAAACTTCCATCAATCCTTTCCATGCTTACTCTTTCAAGATATACATTGGTCACAGTTTAAAACATCTATCTACCCCATAGACATGGGAAACTTTGAGAACCTCTTTTATAATGTTGACTATTATTCTTCCATTTTTCTTAAGCATAGATTAAGTGTCATACTTCACCACAATACATTCTATGCTAAATAGCATCAGCATCCTTTTTGTACGTGTATGTTGGGAGAGGGGGGAACATGCGTGACAAAGAGATATATTAACAAGATACATTAAATATAATACCCAAATTATCTCCTATCACAGACAACCAATCTTAACTTTCTCTAACCAGACAATGTCACTTAATCGTTAAGGGAGGGTGGTCAAGGAACTAAATCCTAGTTACCAAGTTACCCCACCCCACCCTTTCCAGAAAGAAAAATGCAAAGCCTCACCCTTGATGCCATGGTACAGCTTTAAACCCATGACTGAAAGCCGGTCGAATATCAGGTGGTGTATCAGCAGACTGGCTAACCGGAGAATGTACATAGGCTGTTTCAATTAATAATTCTATTAATCGACATCCCAGCTGCATAATTTCATACAGTTAACTAATTAAATTCCAGTCTTAAAACCAAAAGAGATAGAGAAAGAGAAGATAATGAATTACTCAAAGAAAAACCTTGGCCTGTGTGTCCCGGCTCCAAGGACTACATTCTTCTTTTTTCAATACCATCTGCACTTCTCTCAGTCTATTTTTTTTAATTAAATTGTTTAAATAATTTCTCTGTTTTTCTTTATCTCTATCCAAACTGTCTTCGGCACCAGCCTCTGTCTTCTTATACCGGCTACTTTTATTTCCTTCAATGAACTTATGAATCCTAACCTGAAATACAATAAGAGAGTTACAACATCTATAAAATAGCTGCATCAAACAAAAGTTTGATTCATTTTATTTTCTTCTCTTACAAGTGTCTGTGAAGAAATTCAGCCAAATTGACTCTAAAAAATCCACGATTATACCAATTAAGCATTGGAGGCTAATGTGGTTTTACTACTCTGCATTGGCATTCATGATGCACCCAACTAACCCTGTCTTACAAAATAGTGATCGGTTATATGGAATTAAACTCCAACTCCATGTAGACTTTACCTACAATATCAATAATAGTCCAAAAGCTACCTATAGGGACTAACAAGTCATTGGTCCTAGTAAAACTGGACTTGTACCACTTAAGCAAGGTCTTAAATGATTGAAAACGCGTGATTGAAAGAGGAGTCTCCACTTACGATAGCAAGTCAGTTTCTCTATTGAAGATTAATCATCAGCAGCACAAATAACTTGGTTACTAAAAAGAAAGCTACCTACAGCGAGGATTTTACCCAACCACAATTGAGCCAAAGGTTAATCTCATAACCAACCAAACCGAGAACTAACCCATTCATGTAAGGTCCTGTTTGGACAAATTTCTCTACAAGCACTCTTTGGAAGAAAAAAAAAGTAGGAAGAAAAAATGAAATAAGTTTCTCCATACAATAAAATTAACTTATGCAGTTATGCCCAAGTTAATTTTTAAAAGCTCTCCTATTATCTTCTTCAAAATCTTATTTTAAATTTGTGTATAAGCTAATTTTAATTTATAGAAAAGCTTATTTCAATTTTTCTTCGTCATTTTTTCTTCTCCGATATTTATCCAGACACACCCTATGTCGAAAACAAAATAGCGCCATTACCTCCTGTTCTATCGCCATGCCAATATGAACAGCAGCATGACAAAGCTGAACACAGCCTTCTCCATTCTCCATTACCATGGCCACCATCTTATGCATGACAATAACCGCAAGCTTATCGGCAGGCAAGTCGTCGATGTGGGGGGCACTACAGTCCTGCTGCTTCTTAGTCCTGGCCCGGTGGGCCTCCTGCTCGGCCTCCACAGCGGCCCGGAATGGCTCGAACCAGCCCAACAGGAGCGCCTTGACGTGCGGCAAATTGGGTGCCAACATCTTCTGCCGCATCTCCCTCTCCATTTCCCTGTACTCCTCCACCATCCTCTCCCACGCCTCCGTCTCCGCCACAATCTGCCTCCGCCGCAGCGAATTGTACTTCTCCTTCTCCTTCTCCTGCAGCAGCCAGCCCTTGAGGAACAGCCACGGCGGCTCCTGGACGAAGATCCTCGGCGGCGCCGGGGAGGCCTCCTCCGCGCCGAGGTCCTCGACGACGAAGTTGCCGTCGGTGGAGAGGAGGTGGTGGTGGCGGAATTGGAGGATGGGGTCGGAGTGTGTGAGGGGGAAGGAAGAGCACGAGAAAAGGGGCGAGGAAGGGGACGAGGTTGGGATTAGGAGAAAGTGGAGGGTTCGGTGGGGCTTGCGTCTAATTTGAAGGTGGCTTCTGGTGGGGTTGTCGAAGGCGTGAACCTGAGGAGTGGGGAATGAAGTCGCCAATGTCATTGTGTTACCGGAACCACGCTGGGAAAAGGAAGAGGGTGGTTGCGTTTCTCGCCTTCGAGGATGAGGTTCAAACCTCTCTTAAACCTTGTAATCCTACGGAGTATGGACCCAGCAGAAGATTTTTTTAAAATATATATTGTATTTATTCATATTTTTTTATTTTTTTTTATTTTTTATTTTGTTGTTTGTTGGATGTTCTATCTTCACGAGTTCAGGCGTAACCATGAATGTGACCCAACTCAGAAACATAGGTTCATTTTTCTTTTTCGAACTTGAATGTTTATAAATCTAAAATATAATAAATGCATATTTTATATATATATATATATATATATATATA